TGCTGTTTCTACCAGCTCATCTCTGCAGAGAGGGCCTTAACTTGCGTTTCTGTGTCTGATAAAACATTTTCAGCAGCAGCACACACACACAGACTCTTTGTAGTTCATTAAACAATCTAAAAAAGAATCGTGTGTTCTATGAGGGCTGCTATTTTATTAAGGCTGCATGGCTACAGTGGAGCTTGTGTAATAGGCTGCTAAAGCTTCATAAAGCCGGCCCTTCTACAAACAACACTGAGACATTTGTGGATCTTTCATGAGACGAGTCGGAAACCCACTGATTTCATGCACACGGCGCTCACCACAACTTCCCTTTTTTTTGTTTTACTGTTGTCTGGAAGAGTGAGAAGAGTGCTCAAAGATCCCAAACAATATTTACACCGCTGAGTGTTTACGGCTGTCCTCTGCAAGCCCTCTTCCTCCAACGTTAAACTGATCTGTTCGTACTGATGCAAGCGGATCTCCTAAGGACTCCAGCAGCTGTTTAAGGAGGTGCATTTGGAAATGGTTAAGAGCCGGCGTGTTGGGAGCAGCAAATACAATCAGACGTGGGAGGAGGAACTTAAACCATTACAGGAAAGAGATTTGGAGCCTGTCTCGACTGCTTTTCTCTCTCCACACCCGTTGCATTGCTCCCTCTACTCCCTTAAGGGGGTTAAGCACTTCCCTGGTAATGACCGTGCTTCAGACAGGACTTTTAAGCCTTGGTGCCTTGCCTGAGCTGCAATTTAAATCAGGCTAAAAAAAAAGAGAGAGAACCCATGACTCAAGCCAGTGCCTAGAGGTAGAAGTAAGTCTTGGTAGGAAATTGACAGTGTCAGGAGTTCATCAGCCCCGAGGTGCAGCCCAATCCAGCTGTGGCTCGGAAACCCTGCTGGGGAAGGTGCTGAGGTGGCCGGGAGAGGACGTAGGGGACCTCAGGCACCAAAGGATGCTGCAACAACAACTATTTGTTCCAGGATAACAAATCGAGTCCCAAAGCAAATGATGAAATCTTAGTTTCCTGTCAAATTTGGAGTCTTCTCTTTTAATTAGTATGCTAAAAATCAGATGGATCCTTTTACAAAACAGTTCATGAATTAAAAAAGAGAGAAAAGTCCTGCCAGTGTTGAGTCACATTTGGAAACGGACAGGCTGCTGTACTCGGCAGCTCACGCGTGTAGCCGTGTAATCGCCATTCCACCTCTTATTGATGAAGCTGGCCAGACCTGAGGGCACGCCGTCGTACCTTACTCCGCCGTCAACGGGAGAGCGGCTGCCTCGGCTGTTAGCTCCGGCTGGTCCAGTCTGCTGAGGAGGCAGCAGACTGTAATCCCCTCGGTCACACTCCGGCTCTCCCGCGGGACTGCTGGGATTAAACCCGGCGCGGGAAGTGGCGTCTACCAAATGCGTGACCGTGCCGGGAATTTCCATGTAATTGTGACCGAAGCACCACGAGTTCTCCTTCTCCTCCCCTTCATCGTGCTATAAATATCACCAAGACTCCCCAAAGGCTGAGAAACAAAAGCAACGAGGACACAAGAAGGTGCAAATAAGAAACCAGATTCCTTCTTGAATCTCTAACTCGATGGACTCTGGAATACCGAAGTGTAAATGTTGACTGTAGGATCTCAGATTGATGGCTGGCTAGCTAAATGAAACTGTCATGGCTAAGAAACATTTATTTGCAGACGAAGCTCATCAGCTCTGGGTGGATTCTTACGTTAGTGTACCCCGTTCCTTCACCCTTCCGAGCTCTGCTGAACTTTTCCTTTCCGATGATCCTGCTTTTTCTTCTGTTGTAATTTAAGAGCGCCTCTTAAGTCTTGGAAAGCTTTTTAAGACAACTCTCTGGAGTTTGAGGCTGAGTCGTCCATCGTTTTAGAAAGTAGGTTAGTGCTCCATCTGTCCTTGAAGAAGCTCTCTGGCGGAGCACCAGTCCTTCAGGAAGACAATCATTCATGTCAGGACGGAGCATTGGAAAGCTTTGCATAAACCTTATCCCACAGCTACTCTGTCTTCATCTCAGCCAAGGTAATCACGGCTCGTAACGGCGGTGTTGTGAATATTACATAAAACTAATAACTTCCAGGCTCTCATTCCCAGTTTTGGAACTTTTGGGGACTGCGGCTCAGCTACCAGAAAAACGGAGAAGGCAGCTCGTCCAAATGGGACTGTATGATATAAACAACTCCCCAGGAGGTGTGCTGGAGTCTCAGTCGGTCAGTCAGAAGAGCCAAGAACCACCACAGTGTCCACCCAGGCCATTGAGAAAGCATGGCCTGCAGTCACAGGTCTCAACAGCTGCTCAAAGAGGGCTGAGAGGGGTCTCCATGTGCAGCAGCCCATCCAGCAGAGCTGAGAGCATGGAGGCTACAGGGCAGCGTTCCCAGGATTTACCACGGCACTGCAGGCAGACACTTCTGAATCTCAGGGATATGGAAATGTGTCATTCAGCTCTCCAAAGTGTTTTATTTGCATGCACACGTGTACGGTGCAGCACGCATACCCTCCTGTGTTCATTAGCAGGCATCCTCTCTTACTGAAGGCCTCCCCCCTTGACAGGTGTCAGCTGTACTCGGCTCGCCCCAGCCTCCCCAGAAATAATCCACTTCTCTCTCTGCTTTTCCTACATTAGATTTCATTGCAGCGTCTGAACAAAGTCGAGTGGAGTTGCGGACTGTTATGGGAAAGACTTTTATTTCCATTCATCGTAAATCCTGTCTCACAGTTTTGGGGTTTGAACATTTTCCTCCCGTTTTTGTCTCTCCTCCTGTTTCTTCCCCACCTTCTGCTGCTTCTGTCTGTTTTGGGCTCGCAGGCTTATGTCATGTGGAAACTGTCTTCACTGAAGCAACTCAAGGACAGTGGGGAGCCATTTCCATTCTCAGAGTTGTTTTTTTCACCCCAGTGTGGAATATTGTCGTTTAACTTTCCCCTCGTTTGAGTGCAGAAAAGCCTTCAGGTTTTAACGGGACTTGATCCCCTTTTCCAGACATATTCTCAGGGGATTATGCAGCGAGGCCCAACCAAAGCACCCTTAATCAAATCAAAATAAATAGCCTCCTTTACAATAGAGAATGCCACATTTTCCATTTCTATTTTGCAGGGGATTTGTCCCGAGGAGGGGATATCACAGTCAGAAGGGCTCCGTGCTTGCAGAGAGAGTGCCCTGCTCTTTTTAGGGATGTGCACAACAACCGCATGTACAGTAGGTGTCTAGCAAAGCGCCTGAATGTACAGCCGTGCCGTATTTACCAGCACGCTTCTTCAGCTGGAATGGAGCTGAGGTTTTAAAGCCAAAATGGAGCGGTTTAAGTGTGCCTTAGGAAAGCTTCAGGCTCCGTGGCTGTGTGGCCCTCCAGGGCAACAAGAAAGCATTTACTGCAGATTAGAGCTCCTCTCAAGTGTTTCACAAAGTCAGCCTTAAGCTTAGAAATGGTTCCCAGGGCTATCCGGCAACCTGCAGCTGTGGAAAATGTCATCAGAAACTAACCCGGTGTAATGATTGAATTTACATGTTATTTAATAAGCCATAAGACAAAAGATTCCATAGTAAATATGAAATCCACCTTATGGATCTGTGGGTACTGTTTAACCAGAAGATTGGAACTTTTTATTGCAGGGATTAGTTAACAGCTTCATATTAACTCGGAGACAACAGAAGAGAGAGTCAGGTTTTAAAAGTTTAAAGATTTATTACTAAACAAATTAAACTAGACTAACTTTAACACTAAATGTATGGTGTAACTAAGGTGGATGAGACGGAGAATGGTGTGAGGTGGAATGTTGCTCAGAACCAGCAAATCCGAAGAAGCGATTAGTTCTGATGGGAAGGGAAGGTGATGTCTTCGTGTTAAGCTTTGGTTAGGAGATTCATAAACACATTCAACGCCATTTGTCGGTCTACATACCCTTAGCTGAAGTCCCCGTCTAGATCAGGAGGTGTAAAGGTCCAGCTTGTCCTTTATGGAGCCGAAGCCTGTAGAAACAGCCGCGGCAGCCGACCGCCAGTCTTGAGATACTTCCGGGTCACGACAGTTTGTTGGCTTCTAGCGAGACCCAAAACTGGGTCGTGATGGTTCAGCTTTTATTCTGAAAGGAACTGTTGCAGCAGTTGGAACAGCAACAGATTTTATCCAGCTTGTCGTTGGTTCTTTTGGCTGAAGAGGAAAGTTACGGATTGGCCACTCCGACAACTTCTCTAGAACGCTTTGAACTGGCGTTAAAGATGGCGTGGGCATAGTTTTATACTTTGGATGTTTTGGTTTATGGTCGAATGAAAAGATGACAGATTTACCAAACACCACCAAAACCACACCTCCGTCAGATCTGGCAGATTCTGATTGGATCAGTGAAAGCAATGTGTCGTCTCTTAACGCTACGTGAGATCAGTCCTAGTGGAAAAATTTAAAGTCATATTACTTATTATATTCTATAGGATTATAATAAAGTAATTAATATTTTGATTTCACAGATTGGTCACGTCTTATTTATTGACTAACGCTTTGTTTGATTAGCTTTATTAAAAATAAAGAGTTCTTTGATTAATTAAAAGGAGAGAGTCCATTCTTCATTCTTCTCTTGAGCTGGAATGAAAGCAGTTTATAACAAATGCCTGAGACCTTGAGGCCATATCTCATGCAGACTCGTTCTGTGTCAGTGGAGAGGGGGAAAATGACTTTTGGTGGAAAACAGTCATTTCATTCCGTTACACCGGACATCTTTTTACTTCCTGCTGTCGCCGTATTTTGTAGAGGTCACGAATAAGAATTTAGTCCTGCTCTTTACGTTTTCCTCATTTCTCACATGCCACTGTTTCTCTAGACTGATGGAATCGTTGAATATGTTGTTGATTTAGTTTTAAAAAGTAAAAGCTGACAAACTCTCCCTTTTTCTGCTGAATGAAGTAGATTTTTTGAGCTTGTGTGCAACATAAGGCAAGCATAAAACTATGTAATATGTGAACTTTTGATCATTTTAAGATCTCAAACAGCGGATTGTGTATTTTCTCCTTCCAGGAAGCTACCCTCGGGCCTCTAACTACAGCGGGACAGTGAGTACCAGCTACAGCAGCCCCGGTCCCGGCATGACCAACAGTCTGGGGATGAACGCCACCAGCCCCATGCACGGTCATGGTCCAGGCAGCCAGAGTCGGGGGTACCCAACCATGGGTCCCAGTTCCCCCAGCATGCCACAGCCAGCTGGACCGGGGATGGGCCCTCCATCTTTGGGTAGCTCTAACCGAAAGGCCCACGAGGGAGCAGCAGCTGGGATGGTGGGATCTGCCAACTCGGTTCACAGCAGGTAATCAGATCTCCTTAAATCCCTAAAAAGGAAAATAAAAAAAAAACGGAATTGTTTCTGCTTTTTTAGACGACACTTTTCGTATTTTATGTATTTATATTTTGTCCCTTTCTGTGAAAGAAGGTGCTACAGGACTCACTTGTAAGGGTTCTTTGGTTCCTGGAGGTCTAGAATAAAAGTCTGAACTCAGTAGGGATAACGAGCCCATTCCCAAAGTCGCAAATCCCGGGTAATTTTAACAATCTTTACAAAATGCTGCTTTGTTTTGCGTGTCTGATTTTAAATGCCGGCGCAGCGGTGTTGGCTCGCACTAACTCAGCAGCCTCGCAGGCTCAGACTGTAAACAAAGCCTTTATCCCTCTTTAGCTTTTTTATAAGAGGAAAAACAGACGTGGAGTGTGTCGAGTTTGGTGGCGGAGAATCTCGTCTCTGCTTTTTGCGGATGATGTGGTCCTCCTAGCTTCATCCAGCTCTGACCTTCAGCTCTTGCTGGGTAGGTTCACGGCCGAGTGTGAAGCGGCTGGGATGAGGATCAGCACCTCCAAATCTGAGACCATGGTTCTCGACCGGAAAAGGGTGGCTTGCTAACTCCGGGTCGGGAGAGAGGTCCTACCTAAAATGGAGGAGTTTAAGTGTCTCGGGGTCTTGTTCACGAGTGAGGGTAGGAGGGATCAGGAGATCGACAGGCGGATTGGTTCGGCGTCTGCAGTGATGCGGACGCTGAACCGATCTGTCGTGGTGAAGAGGGAGCTGAGCCAGAAAGCCAGGCTCTCGATTTACCGGCCGATCTACGTCCCAATCCTCACCTATGGTCATGAGCTTTGGGTAATGACCGAAAGAACGAGATTGCGGATACAAGCGGCCGAAATGAGTTTCCTCCGTAGGGTGGCCGGGCTCAGCCTTAGAGATAGGGTGAGGAGCTCGGACATTCGGGAGGGACTCGGAGTAGAACCGCTGCTCCTCCGGATCGAAAGGAGCCAGTTGAGGTGGTTTGGGCATCTGGTCAGGATGCCTCCTGGACGCCTCCCTGGGGAGGTGTTTCGGGCATGTCCTGCCGGCAGGAGGCCCCCGGGTCGACCCAGGACACGTTGGAGAGGTTACATCTCCAATCTGGTCCAGGAACGCCTTGGGGTCCTGCCGGAGGAGCTGGTGGAGGTGGCCGAGGAGAGGACGGTCTGGAGCTCCCTAGTTGGGATGCTGCCCCCACGACCCGGACCCGGATAAGCGGAGGAAGACGACGACGACGACCCAGCCGGCGGAGAAGGAAACCTGCTTCCTTCGGACGTGACTGACACATCAGACTGTTTCGTGATTTTTTTTTTTGTTGTAAAATTCTTATTTATTTTACATTTAATATATTTTTAAAGCATTGAATAATTATCCAATAATTCAGTGTTTTTCACCAAAAATACAATAAAACTGTGTCACTGCAGCAGAAATAGTCCATGATGAGGAACCTGTAATCGTTGCTGTCTTCTGTCGTCGGCAGTGTGACTTTTCAAACTTCTCTCTCTGGGTTTCCACCTTTCTGTGAGCCATTTATGGAGCTACCCTTATCTCCTCCCACACCTCATAAAGTGCCTGACATTTTGATATCAGAGACTTTTACTGGAGGAGGCAAGGCGTGAATACAGTTCTGCTAAAAAAAATAAATAAAAGCAGATAAAGTAAACTTGCGTTTTAACTGTGAAGACACCAGAGATGACGATGGCACCGAGCGAGTTTATGGTTATTATTCCTCCATCAGGGTTAGATGAGATAAAAGCTTGTGGAGCTGCAAACAGAGGTTGTTGAGGATTTGAGTGGGCAGTAAACTTTTCCTGAACCTTGCTGGGGGAACCTGTAAAAACATGACTGTCGTCTGAGAGGAGCGAAGAGTTGCGTCGCTTCCACGTATCGGTGCTCATTTTCCCTAACGATCGCCAGCCTTCTGCAGGCTGAAGTCCAGATTCACATCAGTCATGTCTTCAGTCCTCCCTGGGGTTCAAATGTGGTCTTGAAAAGTATGGAAAACTGTGGAATGTGCTTTTATTTATTTTTTTATGTGTAGATAAATATGAAACTGAGAAAATACAATAAAAAATACATTTGTGTTTCTAAAATCTAAGATTTCCCAGAATATCTGAATGTTTTTAATCTTCAGAGTATAAGAGTTTTATCCTCCATATCTTCATTTATTTTTATAGTCACTGGCTCACCTAGCTCTACTGGTACTAGGCGTAAGGGTCATGGTTGCTCAATGAAGGAAAAGTCATAATTACAATTATTTAAGGTAATATTAAAAATCATTTTTGATCAGTTCATACTTTAGGAGGACAGCAGGTGGCAGAGTTGTGCTGTTTAGTTAAAACTAAATTATGAGCCAAAAGTTACTTTAAAGACCAAGTTCACTGAGATTTTTACTTATTATTTTCAAAATAGTGCGGTTTTCATGCAGGCTGAACGTGAAAATAGTCCCTATTTCCTGCCTTTGCTGCCGATAGAAAATAGATGATGAAACGCTGGGATTAGAAAAGCCTGACAGATCTATGTCACGTTGAAAAGCAGCATCATGGACTCACCCATCTTGGCTTGCGACGAGGAAGGCTGTTGTTGGTTTGGCGTCCAGGAGAGAGCACAGAACGTCTTGGCATGTTTTTGGTAAAACATCAACATTGTAAAGCAGAGTCAGTGGTAGAGTTGGGCTGCTGTTAGCCAATCAGAGGCCAGATATCGCCATTGTCAGGAAATAAGACTCCAAATCCTGCCATGTTCTGCTCCCTCTCCACTGGCTCACTTCTTCTTCCTGAAACTGGAGCACCAGATCATTTCCCCCTACAGAGATTGACTCACAAGGCATTCATTTATACTTGAGGCCACTGCGCATGTGTGTGAAAAAAAGTGAACTTGGTCTTTAATCCTTCTTGAATCAGAATGTTTTGGCCTAGAATAAGAAATACTTCAAGTAATTATGTCTTACCTATCAAACATTTGTTTAAAAATCTGCGGACACTGACAGAAAGTTCTTGAACAAACATGGACACACAGCGCTGCTGTAAAAGCAGAGAAGAGCTGCTACAGGAGCCCAGAGTGGGCAGGAAGTGAGAATATAAACGTGCATCATTAGGAGTTGAATTCTCATCAAATAAATAAACTATTATATAACTTTGACTGTCGGTTTTGCCCTCATTCTGCCATCTGTACTGGCACTATATTTGTAAACTCCCCTTTATCTTACCATTCAGAAGGCTTAAAGAGCAAAGTCAAAGTCCCATTAGTTGTCATACACACACTGATGTGTGTGCGAAGTTTGTTCTCCGCATTTGACCCATCCCCTGGGGGAGCGGTGAGCTGCAGACACAGCCGCGCTCGGGAACCATTTGGTGATTTAACCCCCCAATCCAACCCCTTAATGCTGAGTGTCAAGCAGGGAGGCATTGGGTCCCATTTTTTTTTCAAAGTTTTTGGTATGACCCGACCAGGAATCGAACCCTGATCTCCCAGTCTCAGGGCGGACACTCTACCACTAGGCCACTGAGAAAGGGCCACTAGTCAACCCCTACCAGATTCTAACTCCACTCCCACTTCATGTTTGAAAAATGCAATAAATGCTGTTGCCTGGCAGACCAAGAGGGCGGAGCTGCTAACAAATACACACACACACAGGCTCACCACAGCATTGTGACATCATAATGTACCAGTTTACATCATAGCATACCTCTTAGCCAATAGTGGAGGCAGATTTAAATTAGAATACAGTGCAGAGTTTTTACCTGACAACGGCACAACACTGCCAGTTTTAGGCAGAATATTTAAATTTGAACTAAGATGTTCTGAAGTGCCAAATTATTGACGACACGTGTCTGCAGCACGATTAGACACTCGTTTATTTAGTTTATCAGCAAAAAAAAGTTTACTTGGGGATGACTTGCTCTTTAACAAAATAAAAGCATGCTTGTATCTAACAAAATAATTTGGGTTTAATTAAAATACTAACTTGGTGAAGGTTTCCATACGGTTTATTTCTATTTCACTTTGTTTGGAGAAAACGAATAATAAAGCACAAAGCTATAGAATAAAGACTTGACTTTGATGCCATCATGGACGGAAATGTTTAAGAACTTTAATCTAAGAAAGTAGAACGCCTTTAAAATGAGAAAATGTGGATGAACTTTAGGTTTTTTGTGTTTTTATATCAGTGTTGTTGTTTCATTAGTGTAATTTAGATCCATCTGAGCTACGGTGATTATCCTGTTTTCACATAAAACCAAAGGATCGTGCACAAGTGGTTTAGATGCACGCAGAATCCTGAATGAGCGCTCACATTGTTGTTGTGATACATTTGTGTGTGTTGGGGAGGGAAGCAAGTGCCTGACAATATGTTTGAGTAATTATGAGCATCAGGGGGGTCCACTTACACACACACACACTCTCACACACACACACACACACACACACACACACACACACACACACGCAGCAATGCAAATGTTGAGCAAGCTATTAAGAGACGGCTGGGCTTTCAATAAGAAGTGGCATGACATGATCCCCGCTGCTGGGACCAATGAGACGGGCTGTCAGTCTCCCCACCAGGACAGCAGAGAGGTGTCGCTCACGGAGCCGCTGCTGCTGCTGGAGGAGAAGGCAGCGTCTCTCTCATCCCCACCCTGCTAAACAGATCCGTTCAGATTCACTATTAACTGTGAACGCTGTTCTGTTTGGAGTTTTTGTCTTCTCCTTTATAGCATCAGATCAATATATCCAGAGCACAAAGGCGTTTTTTGTTCATCATTTGTTTTTGTTTTTTTTTTATCATATCTTAGACAGTCAAAAGGAAAGATGGAGGATTTGTATTCCATGTTTGCATTTTTTTGGTTTTCCACAATTCCAAACTGATCAATGAATTCCCAAATGAGCCATAGGAATTAGCTCTGATGGACGTTTTTCACTCTGTGAGGACGTCTCTGCCCTATCTCCCTCTTTATCCCTCCCGTCTGTGTCTCCTCTCTCCTCCCACCTGT